CGAAAACTTTGCTGAGAACTTGATCGGATGCAGATGTTGAGGATAAGGTCAGACTTCTGCTTATGGGCTGTCTGGAGCCATTTATCTTTGGCATTTTTGGAATGTTATGTAGGGTTTTTTTTTAGGAACTTGGAGACGGTACTATTTTAGAGGGATATCCAACAAGCACCCGTTTGACAGAGGTTTGAGAATCTGAAGTAGTGTTGAAGAAAGTTCAAGGAGCTGGGCATTTTTAGAGGCAAGTTTCCGGTGGTTCAGCGGATCTCGCGACAAGATTTGAGGGCGCTGGCAGAGAGCAAGGATTAAGGGAAGGCCTTCCTCCTATCTTGTTGATGCACCGAAGCAACTATTAACGGCGGGATGTCTTTGGCAATGCAAGGACTTTTGGGCGGGGGAAACAGAGTTTCCTGACGGCAATGTTTGCTCGTCCCGACTCTCTGTCTCACGTAACCAGCGCCGCCTTTGCTCAGGCTCGGCTCAAGCTCGGCTCAGTCAGCTCAGATCTAAAACAAACCTTATCAAATACCCTTATAATTTATGAAATCCTTAAAAAGACCCTTATTCTTCAAGGGGGGACTAATACTTTATTAGATAAATATATACTTTTTAGGCTATTAATTAGTACCCTTTATTAAAAAGCCTTAAAAGTATATATAAATCTAATAAATAATTGGTATTAGTATGTTGTATTAATTGGGTTTTCGCGTCATTGGGGAGCCCGACCCTGAAGAAGGGCCCATTTTTGGGCGCATCTATTTTTAGCCGCCCACAATTCTCGAATTCTTGATGCATCGCTGAGCGGCAATAGAGGAGGAGGCTCTTGCAGGTTGAGTAAATCCAACATTTACGACGAACCTCGGATTGTTCCCACCCTGAACGTTGGTTTAAGTAAGACAAGCGATGGTATTACATCGTTATGGCGGCCTTTGGCTCACACTCTTAGGATCCGTGTGACCCTCGTGCTCGTTTGGAGCCTCCGGGAGGATTCGTTGAAGGGATCCTACTAACCTGAAAGGGCTTAGTATGACGTGGCGCAAGTCACGAGCAAAGTATTATTGGGCCACGCGCCCAGTATATCAAATAATTTAATTAATTATAATTATTGGCCGGTAATCAAATTAAATTAAGTCAGAATTATAGTAATTAAATTATAATTAATTATTTGCTTAATTTAATTAAATATAATTAATTACTGGGTTATATATTATTATATATGGCTATAAAAATAATATAAGTATTATAGTATAAAAGTAAAGCATATTTTACCCTAATTTAGATATTACCTTACTATTATAGGCTTAATAGCTAGTATCTCGCCTTTACTCACTTTACTTATCTTTATAAATAAGTATTATAATAGGGGTTTTAATTTCTCTAGTTATATAAGTATAATTATATAATATATAGAATAAATAATTCATATATATATATTATAATATATAAATAAATACTAAATATTATAAATCTAGTTCTCTATTTTTAAATAAAGTTTATAATTAGAATTATATTATTATACTTTACTACTTTACTAGTAAATTTAGTATTATATAATTGCAATAATATATATGGCTAGCTAGTATTTAGAATACTAAAGCTCCTATATTTATAAGCTTTTTTTCTTAGTTTAGAATTCTCGAATTAAGAGCCACTTTACTTTGCTTTTCAAGCCCAGAGACCCGGTTTTATAATATATATAAACAATTAGAATTATATAAATTATATAGGATTATGTTTCCTAATTAAGTAAAAGGCTTTATATATTTGGCTAAGTACTAGGGAATATATAAAGAGATACTTCTAGCTTTAGAAAGAGGTATTAATTAGTTTTTTATTAGAATTAATTCTTGAAATTAGTTATACTTATAAGTATTATTCTATAGCTTACTTATCTTAATTACTTATATATTACCTTGCTATTATATACTTTATAAGTTTATAATTTATATCTTAATACTAGTTAATAGTATATCTTTAATATATTCTATATTTCTATAACTTCTTCTATTATATTAAGCTTAGATCTATAAAACCTAATACTATTATATAAATAGGTCTATATAGGAATATTAAAACTTCTGGATACCTATACTTTTTATACTTTTTATATTTCTTATACTTTACTTTACTTAAGTTTATGGTTTATAATATCTTTATTAAATTAATTCTATTATTCCGAGTATTATTACCCTCGGTTAATCTTCTAATTTCCTTTTAAGGATAGCTAGCAAACTATAATATATACTTTATATCTAGAGCGGCAGGCCTTATACTATATAGTAATTTAGGAATAAAAGAGAAATAAATAATAAGAGGAAGAAGAGTATATAGGTAAGTTAACGGACCTATTTACAGGCAGGCTAACTTTTCTAGGCCCATAAACCCGTTATTCTAGCTATTTATAACTCTGTAATCTTGGCTGCTTCCTTACCTATAAGCCTTACCGGTACCGGAATACTAAATCAAATTATTATTAATCTTATACTCAGAATCTAAATCTTCCTTTTACCTATACTAAGCTTGCAAATTATATTTAGTACTAGTAGTAGGCTACTAGTAAGAAGGAGAGGGGGTTTACCGGATATCGGGTAATTATAATTAATAATTATATATGGGAGCCGACCTAAGAGGAGGAGCAAGAGCTCCAGGACCGGTAGTAGTAATATAAGAACGGAAAGATATAAAGAAGGATTTGGGAAGCGGATACTAAAGAGTGGATAAGGGAGCTGCGGGTACGAGAGGGCCAGTTTCTAGAAGAGGGAGAGTTTAAGGCGTAGTAGAAAGAGAATAAAAAAAAGAAATAAATAGAATATAAGTATTTAAAAGAGGAGTAGAGTATAAGGAGAAAAATGAGGAGGAAGAGAGAGAGGTAGGCAGAGTAGCTAGAGAAGGAAGTGCAAGAGAAGGAAGTATAAGAGAAGAGAGAGAGGCAAGAGGAGATAAATATAGATAAATATAAATATAATAATAATTATTAGCTTTAATTCTAGGGCAAATAAGGCTTGGAAGTGCCCGTAAATGGGAGGGAGCTCTATAAGTAGAAGCTTTATAAGTAAGAGTAAAGCTTGGGAGGGCTTGCGAGAGGGAAGGGGAAGCTTTGCAAGTAAGAGTGAGGCTTGAGAGGGCTTGCAAGAGGGAAAAGAGAGCTCTATAAGTGAAAATAAGGCTTGGGAGGGTCTATAGGAGGAAAGAGAGGACTTTATAGGCGGGAATAAGGCTTAGGAGGGAGTTATAGGCAAAAGTACGGGTAGTAAGGGGCTTGCAGGGGCTAGTAAGGCTTGGGAGGGCCCGTAAGAGAGCCGAAAGAGCCTATAGAAGCCCCGGAAAAGCCCGTAAAAGTAATACTATTCCTCTTATAATCGAAAAAAGCCTTTTACGGACTTTAGCCGGTTTTTTATATATAATATATATTAAGAATAAAATAAGAAAGTAAACCGGATCCGGTATATAAGATAAAAGGCTAAATATTTTAATAAAAGCTCTTAAATATTAATTAATATAAATATAAATAATAAATAATAAATAATAAATAATAAATAATAAATAATAAATAATAAATAATAAATAATAAATAATAAATAATAAATAATAAATAATAAATAATAAATAATAAAATATAATAATAAATAATAAATAATAAATAATAAATAATAAATAATAAATAATAAATAATAAATAATAAATAATAAATAATAAATAATAAATAATAAATAATAAATAATAAATAATAAATTAGAATTTTTTATTTTAATAATTAAATTTCTTTTTTTTAAATATAAAAAAATTATTTTAATATTTTTAATAATTAATTAATTTTAAATATTATATAAAATCTAATAACCCTTTTTTTAATAATTTATATATATTTAAATTAATATTTTAAATTAATATTCTTTGGTTTTTTAAACTTATTTATATTAGTTTTTATTTAAAATATTTATATTATTAAAGTTTAATAATTAAAAATATTAAGAATTTTTTATATAATTTAGTATTATATATAATTATATTATAAAAGTTTATATTTTAAATAATTTTTTAAATTTTATTAAATATTTTAATAATAATTAAAAAGAAATTTAATTAAACTTAAAATTTAAAAGAAATTATATATAAAATATAAATTAAAAGAATAGTTTTAGCTTATTTATAAATATTTATATATATTTATAAGCTATTTCCTTTCTTATATAATTTATAAAGAATTTATTCTTTTATTAATTAAAATAGCGAATATTGCATTCTAAGAGCCGCTTAAGGCCACTATTGGTATAGTACGAGAAAACATTTAGAGAGGGTTATAATATAGAGAGATTTTTCAGTCTCTAAACAAGATGGCTAAGAGTCTGGTTGTATCTTTGCAAGAATATCGTGGCGATGCCCTTGTAAGAGGCAAGAAGATGTTATGGAGGAGTATAAAATGGCGTCTGTGTTTGGTGGGCAGTATTGTCATCCTATTAACTGTGGCCATTGCGGTACCTGCCGTTGTGCTGCTACGGCGCTATTAGCCACTGTGGTCTTATAGCTCTGTTGTAGCTCTTATAAAGGGCTTGGTGAGAAATCTTCCGCTGTTTTAGCTCACATTTAAATTCTGACAAGGACAACTCGAAAATATATCTAGGTATTTTATTGGTAGTGTGGCTCTAATTCGTCATTCTTTGTCCCTTACTTGGTTAGTAACCATCGCTGATTCTACTCTGGAACTACAATAATCATTGGGCGGCAGTGCGCAGACCTCCTTCATAACCTTTCAAAGACAACATGGAAGATATCACAAGTTCGTCAGAACGCCACAGCTTCGTCCACGATTAGCAATGCTAGCTACTACTAGCAAGTACAGTCACAAAATACGTCAGTCAATTTAAACATTCCTTTTTGGGGTAGTGTACAGGCAGCTTCAGTTGCTATTCACGCCCGCAACAAAGACATTGAGGATCGTAGCAAACCTGCGGGATATCGTCAGCTTTTGTAAGCAAGTCAATGAACTTACCGGCGAGAATCACTCACGTTGACCCAGCCAATACCAGCTCGATCATTTTAGCCTTCGTTAGTCGCGATAAGATGGACAAGTATATCAAAGTTGCTAAAGTTATGACAGCGATCCGAGCCCACGTGGAAGTGATGAGGACGCAAATAATGATGGGGCAGAGAAGAAGAAGAGCGATCGGGGATAGCATCAACACATCAGTGATCCTCCTGATCAAAGATCCCGAGTATAGGTAGACGCTGGGGTCGTTTGATGCCTCGTGCCCCGGAATCTAGACGGAACGGCCCAGGCCGTCTAGTCAGTTGTGTGGCTACCTATTGGGTTGGGATTGAATCCATTGACTGGGTTCTTACCGATCGAAATCCTTCCCAATTGTCGACCAAAAGATCCTCCACCCAATTCTCAAGATTCTTCTTCGCTGCGTCACTTGAGGATCCGAGACTGATGAGATCTTGCTGTTGATCTAAGTATCTTCGCTCATCCTTGTTCAAACTCCCATTCATCATCCAGTTCCTAAGGCTAGTCACATCCCGTGGTAGAGCATGGACGTAACCGAGTATTCGATGGGTCTTCTCCAGAAAGGAGTCTAGTGTCTCCGTGTCAAATGTCTAGAGTATCACAGTCGAGTAGTCATGTATGTGTCTTACCGTAGTCATCTAGAAGAACAGAAGCCTGAGAGAGAAGAGAGGTTCGGGCTGTGTTTCTATCACACCTGCTCATGCCGAGAAACAAGGGAGAGGCCTCGTTCTGGTCAAGGTTGTCGAGTTGCTCCTCGAGCTGTGACAACTTGTCCTGTTTGAGGCAGAGGAGCCAGGACCTGAGTCGGAGAAATCGTCGACATACTAGGAAGTCGGGGTTGGCAGCGACATAAGCGCAGAATCGAGGATAGTCGGCCCTATAATCTTCAACTGATGCAAACGGTTGGTACAATTTCTTCCGGGGAAACCATGCGCAGCCAGCTATAGGAAAATGAAGGGATGGACGTACTTGTTTTGGTCGGCGGACGACATTCCGTTTCTCTCGGGTTCATTTCTATGTCGCAGGCTTCTGAATTGCCCTTTCTGTCCCACCCAAGCCATATAATATCACAGAAAAGCTTCGCGTGGTGGCGCAAACTGCTTGGGATATTGCAAAGCGGTACATCCATGCCTAAGTCCACGTTTCCATTCAATATTGAATGAATGAAGCGTTTATTCCTCCCAGCAACACTAGGTTCAAAAGTTCAATTTGTCAGAGAGGTCTTATTGCTACTTCTACACAAATTCTACTACGACTTCTTCAATGCCTGATGGGATGCCTTGCCAGCGAGACGTGCTCGCTCAGTTCTTGTGCTCCACTCCACCGGGCCACAGCGTTCCCATCTTCCTAACCTCTTGGCAACCCGACCTCTTCCTATCCTAGATCCCTACCTTTCCTTTCCTATCTTAGGGCCAGGATAGGAGTAGGTCGGGAGAATGGGAACGCTGCCGGACCACAAGCACGCGCTGCACTGTAGCCGGGCGTGCTTTCATGCGGTCCTGGATTAACGACAAGCATTTGAGCAAAGTGTCTTGTCGTGGTCCGCCTTAGCGGGGCTGGGTTGCAGTGAGCAGTAATCTGCAAGGCAACCAATCTGGAGTGTAGACCAGACTATTGACCTATTAGGCTATGACAAGAAGCAATCGGGCAACATAAGAACCGCAGCTCTCTCGCTGCCTTCCATTGTTTGCCTCGTGGATTAGTCTAGCGAAGATGTCTTCGTCCGACGGGTAAGTACAGGTGCTTCTCTAGCTAGAGCTGGCTATGAAGCTAATAATAACTTTCGAATGGAAGACGCACGACCCCAGATTTCACTGTCGATAAGGGTGGAAAGGGGAGGAGTCTCGCACCTAAAGAAGTTTGTCGCATGCTGCCTTGAAACTTGTATTAGATCCCCAAAACTAAGATATCATCATATAGGAGAGTGCTTTCAGTGTCGGCGATTCAGTTTATGTCACGTCGGCGGATGGACAGAAAAGGGGTCCTTACCTCATTGAAACGGTTGTTGATGGCGGAAAATATACTCTCTGCTATCCTGACACGTTTCAGAGTTATGAGAATGGCGCTCAGGTTGATAAAAGCGAGCTCTCGAAGCAGTAGCGATTTGACATGGCGCTTTATTTCTTTCCTGGGTTATCGGCTGTCAATAGCTTGATTAACTTCATGGCGTCCAAATTTGAAGGCAAAGCCGCTTGCTGCTAGCATGCTATTAAAAATGTCGCACGTATTTATCGCCCCAAGGGCACTACTGCAAAGACGCATGTCACTACCATAGGTGGCATTTGGCATCACTGCTCCGTGAGGTGCCGACTTTGTTGTCTGTATAGGCTCAAATGGCTTGGCCTATTGCCCAAACAGTCCAGGACAAGAGTAATAAAGAACGTTTCTCCCAATTCGGCTCAAATGAAAATTAAATAAAACTTGTCCTTCTAGAGAAGTCGCTAGTCAAGGTCCTCAACTGGCAAGTCAAGTTCGTTCCCAAGGATCTCTCATCATGTCTTCCCAAGCTCCAGCCTCATAAGTATGCACCGGAAAGGTAAGCATGGCCCAGGCCTCCAGTGAAGCACTTGTATCTTGCTCCCCTCGTCTGTGTCTGTGTCTGTTCTTCCGCCGGAGTGTTAAAAACTCGCCAAGATTAGGTTGCTCCAACGACGTGAACGAGGTTGGCTGCGAGGTGATGCAGACCTTGATATAATCGTCGCACCTTTCTATACTGTCACCCAACTCCTTAGGCAAGGACATCCGTATCTTCAACCTCCATTCGCCACTGTTATGGCTAGTGTTGTTAAAAAATTCTAGGGCGTTGTAACTGAGCCGCTGAGGAATAACTTCGTGGTTAGCGTACAGGAGATCCTCGACATCCCATATTGCCCCCATAGCAAAGACATTGACGTAGAGTGCCGACAAGCCCCAGTTCAACACGACCAATTCGAGCGAATCCCCATCTTTAACCAGAGCCATAGGGTGGGTGGTGGGATGACAACATTGTGAGTGGTAATTTCTATCATCACTAGCCACGAGTGAGACACCAAACTGTTCTCGCAGTGGATTTTCCGAGTAGTTTGGCTCGCGCAAGTTGTATATATCCCAATATTGGGCCACGTGCTCCATAACATCTAGCACGAACTCTGCATTCTCTTCCAGAGGATACATAGACTTTGGCAAGAGTTTATCCGGAATAAGGTCGCCATATTCTCGAATCTGGTAATAATCGTTCGTTAAAACGGTGACGATGAATGTAAAGGTAGTGGCGTCCTCGGTCCCGTCGACATAAGTGATGTGCAGCGACACTCGATCATGCACGGCTTTCGACCATACTTCGGAACGTGGAATCTGCAAGTTAAGCCCGATAGTAAATCTGCGTAGAGACAAGCGAGTGATTGCTGTCGCAGTCAAACCTGACGCGGCTGTGAAAGCCCCGGCGTTCGAGTCTAGCAACTCCAAGTCTGAAGTTAGACCACGGACCTCTGTGGCCTTGAACGTTAGGGGACTTGATGTCGATGCTATGGTAAGGTCCGAAGTAGGATCGTCTGGATCAATCGCGAAGAAGTCCTCGGAGCTAATGCCATGAGCTAGACCAGCTTCAAGTTGAAGACCTGTCGCGGTTTTGACGACCGGAATCGGGGCTGCGTGCCACGGAAACGTGGAGTCTGTGAAGAAACTGAGGGTGTTGTTTCCGTAAAGCATAGGCCGCTGATTGGGGCACTTTTCTCGAAATCGTGATACGATATGTGAGTATATGTATTGATGTTTGCCGCCGACACCTCCCCGTCGGATGAAGGCTCTGACTAGGAAGTAGGACAACGCCCCATAGAATTGCCCGTTTCCAAAGTCCAGCTCCATAGCCTTTTCTGTCGGCCCACATGCAGCAAGTACAACATAGCCCTCCGGATCAATCAACCAGTTGAGCCGGGATGACGCCGCTCGGTACACGGGACCTGCGTCCTCGTTCTCCTCGTTCGGCGCAGGATCTGGTTCTGGAGGATGGGCCACATCCACTGCAAGATTGTAGGGCAAGTATTTAACCAAAGGATCAAGCCTGTCACGCACGACGCTCCCCGATGGGCGAGCATCATCAGGGTGCTGGAGGCTCGCTGTGAGTACCTGGGTGTCAGAATGAGGAAAAGACTTCATAAGTTGCTTCCTCATGCTTTGAACGTCTTGGACACATCCTTTGAGCGGTTGCCATTCGCTGCGCCGTTCAAGTGGGGTGAAACAGATACCGATTAGGATAGCATAGTGCCTCATCGAAGATTTTGGTTCCGACCCCATAAGGAAAGTTGACAGAAAGCTGTATCGTGGTCCGAATGACACTTGGCTGATCGTTGGGCGATTGACGACCCTCCGAAGTAACAGAAGGAAGATTTAGTGATAAAAAGAAAATTGGCCGTAGCCACGCATCAACGACTCGAGTGCCAAGCAGTGAGCCGCAACCATGAAGTGCATGGTTATAAAGTACTGGTTTTATGGTTTTTTTGTGATTGGGCGAGTTGAGCTGCAGCCGGGCACAACAGGGCGAACAGTTATACGAGTTCGATTCGTCAGGCTGCATATGCAGTCACGCAAGTTCCGTCCACACTCTCTTCTCGTACGACACACACACATACGATTACTCGTCAAAGGCTATATTCGACTGCAATCGACGCATAGCTTTAGGAAACGAAGTATTGGCTATCACTTATGCCCGCTACACGTCTCCCCTTTCGATGCCAGAAGATAACCGAAGGTTAGCAAACGAAAACTGATTCTCCAGCTTGCCAAAGCTCGATATTGCCTAGTTCCCCGCAGATTAGGCTGGCATTTGACTTCTGCACCTGATCAGGGAGAACCCACCAAACCAACCGGGTTTTATCGGTTGTGCCCGTTATGGCGTCCGCAGATGGTGGAGCTTACCAGTTGGCGACTGCCAATCCGGAAGCCAGGAATCTCATTATCGAATCCAGCAGTCTCCTGCGACAATACATGGAGAGCACGACGTTTCAGAAGTTCCAAGAGCCAACAGACAGGTCCGCAGAGGCCAGCGAAACGTTAGAAAAATCCATTCGACTAGCGACAAAGGCCCTAGAGATTGACCCGGATTCTCCGGACCTTGCTTTCTATTATGCATCACTGGCCAAGACCAGTTCCATGCGGGTCTTGCTCGCACGTTCTACGACAGGTAAATGGGAGGCAGGTACTCTTGACGAAGCAGTCCACTTTTCCAGATTAGCTTTGCGCGCGAATGCTGATGAGAAGTCCAACTTTCGGGCATATTTATGGAATGCTCTCGCAGTAGCTTTGCAGCAGAGAGACCAACTGCATGGCTCTCTTCACGACTTGAGAGAAGCCGCCCAAGCCAGCGGACAAGCCATAGATACCACAGCACTTCCCGCTGAACGTGTAGCGTTCTCACAAGTACTTGCAATATGCCTATCACGGATTTATGAGAATACGAGAGGCAGCCATGAGCTTGAAGAAGCAATTGGAGTGAACAGGCAAGGATTGGAGATTGCAGCAGACTACTCGGAACGACTTCCATTCGCGGTCGACTTGTCGCGCCTCCTCGACAGAAAGTTCGAGAGTATAGGAGGAGATGAGGATCTCAACGAGGCCATCCTCATAGGAAAACAGGCAATTGAGGCTATGCCCGAAATACCAGATGAGTACTATGAAATGGATGGGATCATATTTGAGAATACTCGGAGTCCGATTTCAGCATTGCAATTCCTAACGGAACTGCTTATGAAGCGACACACCAAGACGGGGACGAAGGGAGACCTTGAACAAGCCGTTATGTATGGAAAACAGGCAGTCGATTTGATGCCGGATACCACCCACAAGACCAGTCTACTGGACTCCTTTTCGCTCCGGCCTGCATCTATATATTCTGAATCCAATTCTGGCAAAGCCGAGACCATCTCACTTCTCAACCGAGTCCTCACTACAACTTTAGAGGGGATTGATGGAGTGTGGTTTGCGATATCTGTAGGGATGGTTGCCACAGAAAACCCGAGCAGCATCAGTGAAACGGAGCAACTCATTCTTCTCCTTGAACGACAGATGCAAAAGTTCAAAGGCAAGCTTGACCTTCCCGCGTCCGCTTTGATGCCCATGGTAGTCTCGAGACTGTTTTTCATCAAATTCAGCAAGACGCTCTGGGAGATTGATCTTGAAAGAAGCATGGCGTTGGTTGAAGAAGCAGTCGACGAGCTAACTGGCTACGAAAACGAATACAGGATACTATATCAATCTTGTCTAACAAGCGTCAACTGCGGACTTACGATACCAAGACTCAAGATTGAGCATGATCCTACGAGCCCGAATCCTGTTCTGAAACCGGCATATGTGGGCAAGGGAATAAAAGAAGAGTTAAAAATATTGTATGCGGGCTTTCCGGAGATTGACCAAAAGGAAATCGTGGGGCATAGATGGGCTAATGCCGCTTTGTTCAACGACCATAACCTCGCCCAGCTCTTCGGCGCTGAATCATTGTTTGATAACAACCAGGTTATTGTGAATATGAGGGAGTTTATCGACACGTTGCCCGAGAACGATCCACTACGAGCGCACCTCTTTTGCGATCTCGCAGAGCAACTTCTCAGGAAGTACCAAGCGACGAAGGATCTGAATACATTCGACGAAAGTATCCATGCGGCGAGAGCAGCGCTTGCGGCCTTTGAAGTCAACGCAGATCCGCCATGGTCGCAGCCAACAATTGACTTCTGTAAGAATTTCGGTGCACCACTAGGCAGGGGATTCTTTTCGGTAGTGCTTTCCGAGTGTCTAGAAGCCAAGAGCCTCGCGACTGAGGAGATTGCCCCGTTGGATGAGGCAATCCAGGTGCTTGAGAGGGTGTTCGACAAACGTGGAGACAGCACTTTAGATCTCGGGATTGCTCGAAGCGCGCTTCTGCCGCGTCTCCTCAAGAGATACGATCGTACCAAATCGACGGCCGACCTCGAGAACGCATTCAACAGCGCCAGAGCTAATTTGCGCAATGCCAATTTGTTTCTACCTTTACGAATCATATCGTTCAATATTCTCGTCTTCCTACATTCATATATGGATCATAAGGGCATGGAAAATCTGTTCCAAGACGCGGTCTTTGCTATCGGCCTTGTCCCCAGGATGATCGTGCGATCGCTTGAAAGTTCTGATGATACTCTCTTCCTGCTCTCCAGTGCCGTCAGTGTGGCATCCAACGCAGCAGCGCTGGCATTAGAGACAGACAAGGACCCTATGCTCGCCTTGGAGCTCCTCGAGAGTGGTCGCGGTGTCATAGTAGCGTCTCTGCAGGACCTTCGTGCAGATGCATACGACCTTCAGGCCAAGCACCCCTTAGTGGCGGAACGCTTCACTCGTTTGCAGAAGGAACTTAGTACTCCTGCACCCTCCAAAGTCACCACGTTCTTCCAGTTATCCGGCGGCCGCGAAGTCGCCGATACCGAACAACTCGATCGCCGCGACCAGGCTGTACGGGAGTTTGATAGTATTCTGGAGGAAATTCGACAACTGCCTGGGTTTCAAAGCTTCTTGGGCTCACCAAATGACTCGGACATACTGGAAGCTGCCAGGGGTGGACCCATCGCCGTCATCAACGTCAGCGAGATTCGGTGCGATGCGATTCTTGTTCAACGAGACAGAGCACGAAGTTTGCGTCTCCCTTATCTATACTTGCAAGACATCAAAAAGAAGGGCGAGGGTGACGATCTGGGGAGCATTGATATTCTCGCTTGGCTGTGGGCTACCATCGCTTGCCCGGTTCTGCACGCTCTCGGTTTCATCCAGCCTCCTTCGACTGACAGTGACCTACCACGTATATGGTGGATCCCGACAGGCCCGTTGAGCAGATTCCCGCTCCACGCCGCTGGGTACCACGGCAAACGGTCCTACAAGACGGTCATCGATAGGGTTATGTCGTCGTATAGCTGTTCGATTAAAGTAGTCATTAGCGGTCGCCGTCGTCGCATATGCACTACCTCACCGTCGACACCTGGACAGGCGCTGCTCGTAGCAATGTCGCAGACAAGTGGATATAACACGCTCCGTTACAGCACAGACGAGGTAGCCAACGTCCGGGATATCTGCAAATCGATGTCCCTCAAGACCATCGATTTCCAAAACCCACACAAGCGGGACATACTACGGAATTTGCCTAACTGCAAAGTATTCCACTTCGCTGGTCACGCCTATGCCGACGCCTCGAACCCATTAAACAGCCAGCTGTATCTGCATGACTGGAAAGACAACCCCCTCTGCGTGTCTGACCTTCTCAAACTCAACCTCAATGCTCACGCGCCATTTCTCGCGTACCTCTCTGCCTGTGGTACCGGCCGAGTTAGGGATGACTCGTATCTTGACGAGAGCACTCATTTGATCAGCGCGTTTCAGCTCGCGGGGTTCCGGCACGTCATCGGCACTCTTTGGGACGCAGACGACGAGTGGAGCGTGGAGATGTCCAGGATTACCTATGAGGGCATTCACGAGGGTGGTCTGACAAACGGGTCCGTGTGCCGGGGGCTGCACAACGCCAGCCGTACCCTTCGAGATCTCTGGGTTGACAAGATGAGGCCCGAGGAGCGAGAACGCCGCTATGAGGACATCGACAAGTCGGTCACGCATGGCAAAAGGCCGATGGAAAGCCCAACGGGGGTAGCCGAGTCTCATCAATTCTTCGAGGGCGAGGCGTCAGTAATGAACGATAAGGACATGGAAGCATGGTTGAAAGATCATATAGTGAGTGTCCAAAAACTCACGGAACGAACGTGGGAGTACGGGATGCTGAGATACTCGGGCCCGTACCGACAGGTACGGACTGTGACTCGTGGATGCTCGGATGTTGATTCGGTTGGATCTTCCTGTTCCCTCCCTGATCTCGATAACCTGGATGTGTCGACCAGCTGGACTATGAGACCGACCCAGTCCCAAGCTGACCCAAAGACTTTGAAAAACTTGGAGCTTTGGAACAGCCCAAGGATCTCTAATAAGGAGGCGCGAGCTTCGTCGAGCACGGCGTTTGCCCTTCCAGGTTCGTTGCAAGATATCGTCGAGGACTTGGATGCGCTCGTCACCGGACTGGGACTTCAGGACAAGGACCAAGAGATTCCGGAGGATAGTGCTTCGTTGAATCCGCTCTGGGAGACTCTGGGCTCCTTAGAAGTCGAGGGGCAGGATGTGTTACAGGATGTTTTCGAGGTCATGGCGGGGTTAGATTCGGGCTTAGATCCGGGTAAGATGCAGGACAGTATAAACGCTTCGAGTGCTTCGACGAAAGGACATGGAGTAAATAGAGGTACGCGAAAAGTCGACCGGGATGACGGTGGTGGCGCTGAAGAGGGGAGTAAGGGAACAGCACGTCCGCACTGGGTTCCTTATGTTCATTTTGGAGTATAAAGCCGTGCTAATAAAGAGCATCTCGGCTGACGATCAAGGACATATATCACATGGAGGGCATAGTCCAATAACTAATAGACGTCGAACAGGGAAAGTGATTGATGGACAAATTGATTAGAGATCTAAGTCTTAAAGCTTTGACGAAGGATTTTTATGGCTCTTAGCGCTACATGTGACCTAACACGCACGGGCCAAGAGAACGTGCCCGAAACTGCGCTGTAATATTAGCGACCTTCAGGGTTTAGGAGCCCAAAGTTCTAGCGAGGTCTCACTGTAATTACAGCGGTCTGTGTGCTGTAAACAACTTACCAACGTCAGGGCTTAGGTATAGTCACACTTACCTCAGATTAAAGCAGCCGCTGTCTAGCAACTTCTGAAAACCGAACGGGCGAATATGAGGTTAGAGCCCGACTATACTGGAAGTCAGATAGGGGGACAAGCTGGTGCAAACCCTTACTAGAGTTTAACCTAGTCTTTAACTCCTCCGCTAGCTCTATAATTCTATTTATGACTTATAACATCTATCCCTATGTCCCGAGACGCACCCCAGTATAAATTTTTTTTATAATTTTGGAATTATAATTTTTTTTTAAATAAATCTATAAAATTATTATTAAAATAAAAAAAATTCAATTATTTTTTCTTAAGAAAAACTTTATTATAATATAATTATAAGAATAATATTAATAATAATATAAAAGAAATATTAACTTTATTAATTAATAATTAATAAAATATATATTATAATTATTTTCTTTTTTATATTTAATAAAATATATATTATTAACTATTAATTAAAATAAATTTGTAATTATATAAAAAATAATATATTATATATATAATTATTAATATAATATATTATAAGATATATAATAATAAAATAATATATAAATAGTTAAGATAAATAAAATATAAAGTAATACTTATAAATATAACTAATTCCAAGAATTAATTCTAATAAAAAAACTAATTAATATTCTTTTCTAAAGCTAAAAGCATTTCCTTATATATTTTCTAATATTTAATTAAATATATAAAACTTTTTAATTAATTAGAAAATGCAATTTTATATAATTTATATAATTCTAATTATAAGCTTTATCTAAAATAAGAAACTAGATCTATAATATCTAATACTTATTTATATACTATTATATATATAAGGCATATAATAATAGGGTAATATATAAGTAATTAAGGTAAGTAAGCTATAAAGTAATACTTGTAAATATAACTAATTCCAAGAATTAATTCTAATAAAAAACTAATTAATACCCCTTTCTAAAGCTAGGAATATCTCCCTATATATTCCCTAGTACTTAGCTAAGCCTGCAAAATACTTTACTTAACTAGGAAATATAATCCTATATAATCCGTATAATTCCGATTACTTATATAATTCTAATTATAAGCTTTACCTAAAATAGGAAACTAGATTTATAATATCTAATACCTATCTATATACTATTATATATATCTATTATATTAATTCTTTCTCTGGGCCCTTATTCCTAAGAGGCCTGAGAAAACTATAAATAGCTTTATAAATAATTCCCTAAAACTTTCCCGGCTACTAGTTCTTCCTAAAAACTTTCTATAATTATTCTATTATTATATTAGATAATAGAATTAAGGATATAGTTTACTAATTTTACTTAGTTAATTTGCAAATTACCTCTAGTAATTTCTTCTTATAAAGGTAATATAAGTATAGTATATATTATTAGATATAAAGCTTTTCCGGTTTTCTAATTAGTTTATAAATCCTAACTTAGCCTTTATTTGCAAATAAATTATTATTCTATAGGCCCAAGAATTTGGAAAAGTTAATCCGATCTTCTGGTTTATTTATAAATTCTTTCTTTAGAATTTTCTGGATATTTCTAATATAGAACTAGTTCCAAATTCGTAATTACTATTTAGGGAAAGAGTATTATAAAAAGGCCTTTCCTTTCCTACTAACTAATCTTCCTTTTCCCTAATTATAATACTATACCTAGCTTTTTCTTATCTCTTGCCTTTTTTCTTTAAGCCTTCTTTAAGCTTTTTTAAGTTTCTTTAAGCTTTTTTAAGCTTCTTTAAGCTTTATTTAAGTTCCTTTCTAATTTTCTTTTCTACTTCTTTATTTATTAAGATAAATACTTCTCTTAGTACTTATTAGCCTATTATTACCCGTTTGGCTAATACTTTTATATTCTTAATTTGCCCTTATTATCTTTAATATTTCAAGAATATTACTAAGTTTCCCGACCTTACTTATATTAAGAATAATAATTACTTAATATATAATTACTATTACTTTAAGAATAAGAAATATAATTCTATAAATTATAAATTTCTTTCTTTTATTTCCTATTCTAATACTATCTAAAATTTCTTAAATATATATAATATAATTAAACTGCTTTTTTTAAGTTATTAATATATATAAGTATTTTTCCTAATCTTTATCTAAAAAAGAGAAAGCTATTATTATCTTTCTTTTATACTAAACTATATATATTTCTTATATTAAAGCTATTATTTGAGGTTAATAGATTTCTCTAATAATTTAAGAAATAAATTAAGTAATTCTTACTAGCTTAGTATAAATATAAAGTACTTTTAATAATATAATTAATATTCTTTAGTATTAAGTAAGCTTATTTCTTTCTTGTTTCTTACTAATAACTAATAGCTTTATAGGCTAATTTGCTACTTATTTCTTAAAAGAATTCTAATAAGAATAATAATAAGAATAGGATATTTATAGAATATAGAAATTAGAGTTTTTAAAATTCTTAATAATTTTTATATAACTTTTCCAAAAATAAATATATGGTTTTTAATAGTTTCCTAATAAAAGTATTTATATTTTATGCCTCTATTTAGCTAATAGTATTATAATATTATTCTTTTTTAAGTATTCTTATAATTCTTGAACTATATTCTCTAGATTACTTAGTAGTTCCTATATATTATTTACTAGTAAATAGCCTTTTTAATAAATGAGATATTTCTTTTCTTTTTTGTCTTTTTTATAGGCTATAATAAATTCTATCTCGAATTTCTCTTTATTCTTAATCTTAACTAGTTCTGGTTTTATTATAATACTAGCTTATAAGTACTATAATTCTAAGAGAGAAATATAGAAAATATTATAGATCTAATATAATAATAGTAATTTTAAGTAATATATCTATTTATATATTTCTATAATTTCTAGAACTTTAAAGAAATCGAGATATTTATTTACTAGCTTTATATTAGATTATAACTACTAAATATTCTTTATATAAAGTATAACTTTATTATATATATTAAATTCCTTATTAATATATTTCTTATTATAATACTTTTTCTATATATTTACTATTTTTTATTATTATTTTTCTAGTATTTCTTATTTTACTTAAATTTTCTATACTTTTTCCTATATTACTAGTATTTTTTTTTCTGGAATATTATTCTTAATATATAATTTAATACTAGAATAGAATCTATATAATATATAAAATAAAGAAATTCCTATTATTAAATATATAAAGTTATTATATATGAATTTTATAAAAATAAGCTTTATTATTTAGTTATTTTATTAGTAGCTAGTATAATACTTTAAGTACTATTCTAGAGTTTGGTTTAGATTCTCTATTTATTTATTAGTTTATAAGTAAAATATTATATTTAGCTATTATTAAACTTTTAAATAAAAGTATAGATTTAATTAGAACTTGCTTATAAAAACAAATTCTTTATTAGAGGTTATATTTATAAATATACTAAAATCTTTAATAATATAATATATAAATAGCTTTACTAACTTAAAAGCCGAGATTTTTTTAGTAATCGGAATATATTATATTATTTTCATATATTTATTAATAATAATAAATATAGAATTATATATCTTACTATAAAATATAGAATTATATATCTTACTATAAAATATAGAATTATATATCTTACTATAAAATCTAGAAGAAAGCAGTTCTATAATAAAGTTTATAGTAATTTCTTATTATAGTTTAGAGAGAAAAGGAAATAAACTAAATATACTATATAATAAATATTTTTTTATTTTAGTTTATTAATATATAAAGCAAGTTCTAATATAATCTTTTATATTCTTTTTTATATTTTATTAGAAATACTTTTTTTAGAGAATTTCTAGTATCTTACTAGTACTAAAATACCTATTTATAGGATTATTATAATTAGCTTATAGTAATTCTTTTTTAAGAGCTAGCTTATCTAGTATATAAATAGTATTCTAATATCTTAATAACCCAGATATATTAAGTTCTTAAGTCTTAATAGCTTTAGTAAAAGTTTCTTTTAAGAACTATTTATTATAGTTATTATAATATACGGTACTAATAGGGGTTAGACTAGAGCTAGAGAGGCATCTAATATCTGAGTAAGGCATCTATAGTTACCTAATTATTACACGTGACCCCGAGCTTAAGCTAGTATATAGGCCTGTATATAGCTTGTGATTATTTAGATCCGAGGCTCTTTCGGGATCCTCTTCTCTCTTTAGCTTTGAATTATTAAAATAGAAATAATCTAACTATGCCTTCCAGGCCCTAGATCTTATACTCGTAATATAATTCAAAGCTCGCCCATTTCTTAATCCTATAGAGGATCTAAATAATACCTATCCGATTAGTTTTCGATAAGTATAGATACGATATATTATAGCTATTTCCGAACCGGTTAACTAATATTAGAATAAAAGAAAGCCCTAGAATAACTAGGCAAGAAAGCCCTGAACCGGCCAGGTAAGTAAATAGGCCAGTAACCTTATTACTAAACGAAAATCTATAAGAAAGCAAGTTCCGGAATAACTAGGCAAGTTAGAAAAAGCTATAATATAAGATATTACTAGTATATTACTAGAAGGTAAACCAGAGCCTCTTATTAAGTCTCCTGAGAGGTCCGAATATCTTATTAATATTTATAATAGAAAAGATATTCTTTTCCAGAAAGCAGAAAAAGAAAAGGAACCTATCTTATTAAAGGCAGAGTTCTAAGAATTATTTCGGAACCTAAAGGCTTTATATAAAGAGATTATTAAGCTAATTCTAAAGATATATAATATTCTTACCTATAGCA